AATACACAAAACGAATAGTTAATATATTGTACCACCATATACTCACTAGTTAATAGGTATGGTATCCTATCAGTACCTATAATCTATGTAGAGTAGTAAAATGCAGCGGCGAAGTCCCTTCTACCACTTCAGTTTTCTTTAGTATGAAAAGCCGTTGTAGCTTCTGTCATCGCTACTGTTGCGTCGCGTGCTATAGGAGTGGTGACAGTATGACGACAGCGAATACGACGTAGTGTAATATTATTACACTACGTCGCGGTAATAATCTAATTTATATTATAATTATTTGGAAAAACAAAATGCTACCGCTAGCAATATCGTACCATGTGTTTGTATCAGAGACATTTCCAAAAGTCACAAATTATATCGCTTTCTCAAAGATTTTTCTTAGTGTTTATTTGGTTTTCTCACTGTTTTTCATTTAAATTAAAATTAAAAAGACAAACTTTAAATCAGCATGGATAATTGTTGGATATATATCGCTAATTATCAGATATTATTAATCAAAAAATAGTTTCTTAATAATTCCGAACCCTTGATCAAACTAAGAGACTTAACAGATCTTCCTTTTTGGTGTAATTTATTTTTCATATAAATAAAAATTAGTATTGAAATAAAATGATGGTTTGTGACTATAATTGTAATCGATCAAGTGGCTAGTACTCTGGGCACGTGCAGGCAAGGCGATCGAGGCGACGCGGATTAGACCCACCGAAAGTGATCCGTTATAATTTCGAGGGTGGACACTGACGGCTGGTACGCACAGATTAGCCCTCGATAAACAATAGCATTAGTATGCGAGCCGCGCTGACCGTCGCCGATCACAACGCCCGTGCCCGGATTAATTCCTCTAGGAAATTATGGAGGCGTTGTCTGGGAATCACTGGCCCGTTCAATATTGCTTTGTTTTCATCTGCGTAAAGATTTCTTGCCCGCTTATTCATTTGATATGTATGTAATTCAGGTGTTTCTCGACTACTCGAACATGCCGAGAATGGACAGTTAGCTTAAAAATCACTGATAATTTATAGTTTTCTTAACTTGTATATTGGTGTAATGGTGTTTATAAACATTGTTTTATTTATTATTTACTGTATTAGTACAAACACAAAATGAAAAACCCCTACCGAAATCCTACTAATATTGATTAGGGTTGCATTTGCTTAATTTTACCAACTACCGTACTAAGCGTCTACTAAAATTTTTATCAGGTCTAAAATACTTCTAATTATTTATGTAAATTTACCTTACCAATGACCTTTGAAGAAGTACTTCTTATCGTATCGAAGACATATATTATAATGCTTGCCATCGTCGTGATGAAAAGATTTGCCAATAAGCGTAATCTCGCCGATTGTTGGCCATGGTGCGCCATAGACTGGTAGACGTATCCGGGGAGATTCCTTTTGTGCAAGGTGATTGTGCAATACGCTTTTTATAATTTTATAAATGTTTTGATTAAAAAGCTTGAAAACGTTTTATGATTTCGTTATACTACTTTAATGTGTTCATAATTGTTAGTGTTATAATTGAATAAATATTTACGTAAAGCGAAGTATAGGGGAAGCGGGTTTAAAAACATAAGAGGTATAGAATAAAATACTTTGATAATACGGTTTTAAATTTTAAGCTTGTTATTTGTTCCTCAATCCAAGTATAATAAAGCTTATAATATATGGTGAAATTACAGGCAAATGGGACTTGCCACCTTATGTCTATGGATGTCGGGCGCAATGGCAGTCCTCTCAGATTTTTGTGATTTAAAGCTCTGAATGGCACTGCAACTGTTATGGACAGACATGTAGCTTACCATCAGGCGCACGACTTCTTTATCCCGTCACTTTACATTAGTAATAATAATAATAATAATAATAATAATAATAATACTAAGTATTTATTTTTGTTGAATGAAGAGTATGAAATATTCTAGACATTAGCTACCGAAGTAAGTAGTCTAATCTACTTTTACGTTACGTTATAAAATATAACTTTAATTGTATATATGTTACTGTAAAAACCCATATATTAGTTAATCTTAGGTTTTACAAGTAAACCTTAGAATTTACCGACTAGAGTTGGTACATGTAAGGATTTATAAACGAGGGACGATTTTTTCGGGCCATTACAATTCGGTAAGTGCTAGGTTTTACCATCGATGGTTGGTAAACGTTAGTTTAGAGAATAAAATGAGTACTTTTTAATCATTTACATTACTAATCAGTCTAATCCTTACCTATTTCAAATTATTTTCATTTTCTTGAAGCGAATTTGTTTGCGTTTCCCAGCTTGTTTTCAGGTCAAATTATATTATGCTTAACATGAGGGGTATCGTTTAACAAAACTGATTTAAAAGAATTTTATACAAATATAATCAACGTTTAAACCAGGAGTTAGATGTAATGAAATTTAAATAAACTGGTGTTATGCTGAGTGCTAGCGAAAATGATCATTATTATAAATGAGATTATAGAATGTAAGTTTATATTAAACGTTCGTTATATGAAGAGAATTGTTATATTTAATTATGTTTATTTGAAATAAAATTACGCCAATTAAGCGTTATGTTACTATTAGGTTTTTATATGATATATTACACATCCCTTTTTCAATATTTACCGTGTTTTTGAGGTAAATCCTAAGATATACGAAGTGATGGTGGTAAAATATCGAAATGAACGATGATGACATAACTTTTCGGCCTTTTACCATTGAGGGTTGGTGAATCTTAGGTTCTATTGGAATATCTTAGAATTTACCGTAATTCGGGTTTTCACAGTAACATATACAAGCTCGACCAATATAATTTGAGAAAATCTTTGGTTTAAACTTATTTTATCATTTCTATCAGAAACGCTATTCTATGTTTAAAAAAGTAACCTCATTAAAGTCTAATCTCTTACTTAACAATTATTTAAAGAAAATACATCAGACAAACGCGAAGCTCCAAGGGGTGCTTTTGCGGATGGCAATAGGCGTTAATTTAATTACTACGACCCATGATATTTTGTTGCCCGGAAGTATACGCCTACCGCTAAGTAATGAAGTTACTGTTACACTACCGCAATAATAAAGAGTTGGTTCCTTAAATCGAGGTGTATTTGCACTACTGGCTGAATGAAGAAATGCCAATAGAAAGTTGTAACTAAACGGGCAATGTATGTGTGCTTTATCGATTTAGTTCTAACGTGAAAGTATTTGACAGTCTTCAACCTAAAAATTAAACTTGAATTATTTATCTAACATATTTTTTGAATTTCGAAAAGAGTATATTTTGAAACAAAAGGGGGAAGTGGAAATTAACCTTAAGTAAAATTTCTTTGTCACACAGCTTATATCTCTAGACAAAGTTCACGTATACAATGTTGCATACATATTAATTACAAATGCTTATAAACTTTCCACACGAAACAAACTTGAAGCCTTGTAAATCAAAAGCTAATTTATTCTGAGATTTGAAAGCCTGAAGATACGTGCCGTAATGTGTTCTTTACATCAAAAACACATTTAAAAGAAGTTAGATTGGCTTACGGGAGTTGGCGTGCGGCCATACATAGTTGGAGCTCCTTGGAGCCTTTTCGGCGCCCTAAAGCCTCCCCCTAATCTTCAAAGACTCGCGCAGATTGTTTGCAAGAGTCCGCCGATCAAAATATGACGGTCCAAACTTTCTCTACATAAATTATTTTGGCAAATTCGACAACCGAAAAATCCGGGGTCGAGTTTGATCAAAGTAGAATGAATATATGGGGTAGTTGTTCAACTGTTGTCTTTCCCAAATTAGACACCCCGTAGAGTTTTTGAAGTTTTTAAATTATAAGAAACATTCAAAGGTGAGTACGCATAGTATAGAGGTTACTAGTAAAAGATTGGTGTTTTAAAACAAGCTTTATTTAGTACATAACCTACTCATTTCGTATCAATAAACGTGAAGTTACGTAGGTATATATGTACTGAGGTATTACACATCTCTCACGTCCTTTGAAGAACGCACAACAGTCAATACACTCTGTTTATTAAAAAGACACTCGCTTTAGCTTAAATGATATATTTACAAAATGCCTATCTATGTAGCATCCGTCTTACAATAGCATTTTGGCAACGTGTTAACGGTAACATTTACATTACATTTTTATTATAATCTTTAATTGACAGAAGATATTGTTCAAATCAATTTATGCTTAAAACATAACTTGCCTCAATGAACACCATATTTTGAAAAGACGGAGAAAATAATTTATCGTATTTAACTTTTTAAATTAACTTCGCTATAAAAATCAAATTCATAGATAGAAGTAAAGTTGTTCATATCACAACAAACATGAAATTTACAGAAGTATAAAAGAAATAATTCGATTCTTTAAAAATATTTTTTTTTCTAAAGGTTTACGTTATTTTATTCCATTCAGTCTTACTCTATATTAAAGTAATATTATAGTGCACTGTATATTATATAAACGCATGTGCAATGATTCGCTATACTATTCGTGGCTCAACAGACCATCCATCTTCTCTACAAAAAGTGCATAAAAAGGTCGAAAATACACCAAGTTCCTATAAAACTATAAGTTCAAAATGCAAATAAAGTTCCTTTTGCTATTGTACTAAATTCGAAAAATAAGTATTTGGCGATATCTCATGTGTGTTACACACTTACAGTTTCCTATAAATGTGAGCATCTAAGTTTCTCATATTTTATTTGCAAAGCTAAAGTTTTTCCGCGTAGCACAGTCATAATTATTTCTTTTTTTTTAATGAGCGCTTGTACTCGTATGTAGTGGAAAAATATATGTTCTATGTATAATATCACTATCTAAAACAACGAAAATTGGTCGATTAAGAACTGAATAAAAATTAACAACTTATTATTACTTTAACTTGGTGTAATATTAAATTGACGTACGTGTACTCATAAAAATATCTGCCAAACCACGAAGATTAAACTTACGCCAAGGAACTGTTGTACATCATAATAATTTACTATATCATATTTAATAATAACAACAACGTTTATACATATAAAATATTATTCGGTTTATGTTTTAAACGTAAAACTAATAACTATTGTATGTATAATTTATGATAATACGGTCACTACTAATTTATATTTTATATATTCTAAACTAAATTACCTGTTTTCGAGGACAATTATATTTTTACATTTAGTTTAAAACAATCAAGAAATTTGCATACAATTTTGGGAGAGTGAGGGTGAGACGCGTTGTTTAATCTCTAAAGCTCATTTTAGGACGTTAGTTACAGCACTAAACTTTGAATATGTGTAAGCAACGGAGAGTTTCGTCTACAATCTTCAGAATTGTCTACAACTTAAATATAACTTTGAAGTAACATTGTAAATTAATTTGGACTACGTGGTACTGCCTTGGCATATTATAAAGGCTACTAGTAGGATAGGCGATTCCAATTAACTGATTTCAATGCTTATTTGTGCTAATGTGCGGCTTTTCCTAAGATTGCTTATGTTAAAATATTATTAGGTAGCGTAGGTACAAACTGGACTGTATGTTTGCGTAAACTTAATAACTCATAAGTATCTAAAAGAATACTGGTATGATAAATAAAATTAAGCTCCATAAATGGCTTCTTCTCCAATCAGCGTCGCCTGTAAGGAGAAAAGTACATTTTGAATATTTTCATTTCATCAAAGTCTATACTCTACCTTTACAAATTAGTGTTGAATTGTTACTGTGTTTGCTAACTAATGCCTTATTAATATGACATTTATAGGTGATATTGTAATTAAAGTTTAATGGATACTATATTATCGACACTAAGTCTTCCATTAAGTTACCTGTCACTTGCGACGCTCCTCCCACCCAATTCAGATGCGTCTTCCCACCACCTTCGTCTGGCTTCTGTTTCCCCTTATCGATTTCATTCAGATTCGATTGATACTTCGTTCCTGGACAAGAAAAATAAATTGTTGTTATTGAAAGAACAATCATTATGGAATTTAAAAAAATGAACAAAGAAGAGAGAATAAAGATGATAGATATAATGGAGCTCATTTAGAAAAGGTTTCAATATGGCAAGGGACGAAATCGGATGGTGGCGTCGGGTAGGCGACGGCGACGCGTTATTGAAAAGTTGCGCAATATTGTCGAGTGGCCGGCCCAGCCGTAAAATCGTAATGGGCACAAAAAATAAAACACTATCGGTATGTGCGACGTCGACTATACGCCTGCCACCGCGTCCGCTCGCAAAAACAACCATCTGCAAAAGTTACACTTGCGCCGCGAGGGAAGCCTAAATGGATTTTCCAAGTTCACAGAGCGTTTTAAAAATATACGGTATCCTTTAAAAACTTGTTTTATTTCATATATTTTCCTTGTCATAAGAAAATAAGCTCTTTTGGTGTGCTTAAAGTGCTATTTTGCAAAAGTTAAAGCTATAGCATAGCAATATGTTGACTGAGTGAACGAATAGTTTGTTGTAATAGGTTATCTCGCAAGATGTCAGTGTCTGGGGCGGGCGGCAGGCAGTATGTCCAACTTCCTAATATCGTCGCATAATGACGCGTACATACAAACTTATGAGAGTTCACATAGCTAAGTGAAGTAAATTGTTTTATTAATATAAATAGCTAAATTTAGGTCCGTGTTTTCGTGTTTTGAAAGTATAATTTAATTATACATTTTATTAATGGTTTGCGTTTGAGTATCAGTAGAGCTTCTTGTGACAGTTAAAGGAAAGTACTGCCGTCTATCCATATTTCTGCCACCAAGCAGTAACGTGAGCATTGCTTCGTTCCGGTTTTGAAGGGTAAAGCCGGATTTACATTTGTCTGACGTGTCGTGTCGTGAAACGTCAGAACGGTACCTATCGGTTTCATACACACAGCACAAGCCGTCACAGCAGATTGCGACACCATACTGAATGTATGAAACCGATACCGTTCTGACGCGACACGACACGACACGTCAGACAAATGTAAATCCGGCTTAAGGATGTTGGTGAAATTAAAGGCACATAGAACGTATTAACTTATTGGCAGTCCTCAGATCTTTGCAATTTAAAGCTCTGAGTGCTGCAACTGCTATGGACAGGCGTGTCGCTTAACACCAGGCACTCGACTTGTTTGTCCTGTCACTTGTTATCATAAAAAATTATATCAGACCATAATAATTAAATGTTATAAAACTATTAACCTACTCTTGCGACTCTTTCACTGTAAAAGATTTATTCCCAACTCTTCAATGAAGACGATAGTCGGTGATTACTCTAATCTTTAATAAACAAATAATATAACTTTGTAGAAAGTAATAATTTCCACATATTGTATAAAATAATATATTGGCGATAAATAATTGTGTTGATAGTTGTTTATTATTAAAAACTACGTCCAATGACGTACGTGACTTGTATTTACGGAGTATGAAGAAATTACCTTTTATTTAAATTTAAAAAAGACCTTACAGTGTTTAATACGAGTAAATAAGTAAATTTAACCTGTGCGTAACCTAGTCACTCAACGATGTATGGGGCGAGCAATGCTCGCCATTTCTCTATGTGATCGAATCAGAAATGAGGAGATCCGTAGAAGAACGAATGTCATCGACATAGCTCAAAGGATTAGCAAGTTAAGTGGCAGTGGGCAGCGCACATAGCCCGTAGAACTGACGGCCTTTGGGGCAGAAAGATTCTCGAATGAAGACCATGAACCGGAAAGCGTTCAGTGGGACCGCCCCCTATTAGATGGACGGATGACCTAGTAAGGGCGGCGGGTAACGGATGTACGTCGCGTCCGTCCGGCTAGTCTGACAATCTTTGGGGGAGTCTATGTTCAGCAGTGGACGTCTTCCAGCTGATATGATGATGATGTAACCTAGCAATATACATGTTTTGACTTCGCGCTTGCCAACACACAAATTATTCAAAAACTAATGAGTTTTATGTATTCGTACGTAGTTTAGGTGACTTAAATATCATTTGCCTACTGTAAAACGGAGAAAACAGTTTTGAGGAAAACTTATTCAACCAAATTTTGCCGTTTTCAATCCGCATTGGTACAGCAAGGTAGAGTAAACCATGCTCGGAAGCAGAACGTATGTGTGAATCAGGCGATTGATGTATAGACATCATCATGCCGACTATCCAAATTTTTCCAATCTGTTTACGTTTCTATCTTTTACATTTGATGATAGTTTGCAGTCGATATAAAGATTAAAAAAACTAATATGCAATGTACCTCTGCTTTATCATATAAATTAATTTAACGACATCATAACGCGAAAGCCGGCACATCTCCGTGCACTTCATAAAATGTTTGTTTATATGCGATTTGTTTACGCTTTACGATGCCGTAATATTCGAAGTCAGTAACCAAACAACCGAGACGGCGACAACCAGATCGCCCTGCCACATTTACGGTCTATAAACAAATATAACGACCACTAATAATAACTGAAACAGCAAACAATGAAAACAAGCCAACCGATCTCGTGGGGATACAACCCATAAAGGTATTTATTAATCTCTTAATAAACAAAATCACCGACGTAAAAATGTTTGGATGCGTTTTATAGGCGTTATCAGAAATTAATGAACCCACTCCGCCACACTATTTGTTAATAGTTTGAATATTGCCGTGCCCTATCGCGTTTATAGATTTTTATTAATAGAGTGTTGTTAAGTAATTTTTTTTTTTTTTTTTTCTGTTAATATTTATTTAGATTTTTGATGACTGTTGTATTGGTTTTTGTACGCTATAGTAATAATCATTCTATTTATACAAAATAAATACACAATACTAAAATAGAGCATGCACGAAAGTGCACAATTTTATAGTTTCTTTTTTTTATAATCAAATGACGTGACGAATAAGTAACAGTTGCAGTGCCACTCAGAGCTTTAAATCGCAAAGATCTGAGGCGCACTGCCATTGCGCCCGTCACATAAATTGACAAGTCCCAAGTGCCTCTAGTTTCACTAGCTCCCTCACCTTTTAAAACCAGAACACAAATAATGCTAACATTACTGCTTGGCGGCAGAAATAGGTAAGGTGGCAGTACTTCCCTGGACGAACTCTTTCGCAAGGAGCTCTACTGCTACTAAAAAGTTAAATATAGGTTGTGCGCAACCAGATGGCCACGCGCACAGAACACTTAAGTTTGTGGTCACGAGTTAGGTTTGTGACAGACAGGGATAATAAGGTCCGTGACAAAGATGTATTGCTACATTCTTTTGTACAGACACCACCGTAGTAAACTTTCTGTCTAATTGCAAATGTTAGTGCGGTCGTACGATGTATTTGTTCCTCATACTCATAAATTAATCAAGCTTACACTACCAAATATAACGCAAATGTCATAACAATACTATGTACTAAAATTGTGTAATTCTGTTTTATATTCGAGTAACTCATGTTACCGGCATGACTTGCTAAATATCGGAAAGTCGCATATATTATGTTATTGCCAAAAATGTATAATATAATTTTAATTACATTTACGCTTTTTATAATAGAAAGTCAAATGTAATAATAATTACAATAATTTGTGTACTATGTGATTGCTTGCATACAAATTACATTAACAATTATTTATCTTTTTTAAATACAAAACCGCCGTGAGTAACTAAAATAACGGATAAGTCACTTTAAGTCGAATTTTTGCTCGACGTGTTTCGAACCAATTCGTTGTCCTTAATCATGAGATTCTTTAGAATTAGAATAGAATTAGACGAAAAGTCCTGGCAGCCCGATCCCTCATAACAGCAGCGGGCGCAGGCGGCGTTGGCAAGAAACTACCTTCGTTTGCTTTATTTTGATTAAAGTCATTTGCAGGATTGCGCACTACATTAACAACGTTACTTTCTAAAGACTCGTCTACACTAACCACTGACGTAGTACCTAATTGGTTCGTAACATGTTGAGCAAAAATTCGACTTAAATGCGTGAGTTATTCGTTATTTTAATTATTTATCTATTGTGATTAATTTCTGCGTTTTGTGTCAGTAAAATTAAACATATTCTTATTTAATAACGACACACATGCATATATACGTCGAGACTGTTGTGATGCAATTATTGTTCTAACAAGCCCATAAGCAATAGATGAGTTACGTCTGTTTTTTCTGTACTCAAAATTATACACTTTTTTAGTTCTTTACGTTACGTATGTATATGTAAGTACGCAACAAGTTTATACTGTACTAAGCTGCGTCCACAAAAAAATCTTACAAAATAGCGATACGAAATGGATTTGGGATTGTTGCAAAGTTCGAGTCCGGAACTTATAAAATGTGACAATACAACATCGTCAGGGACTTGTCTCAGTTGAGATCGCAGCCGTCATTGTTCGTATTTAACACGGTCTTAAGTCCTTGCAGTAGAAGAGATCTTGAAGTTCGTCAACACAAAGAAAACGTGAGTTTATCACTCATTTCAGTTATTTTGATTGGAAGTTGTATTAGTAATCAGATCTTTACGATTTAAAGCTCTGAGTGGCACTGCAACTGCTATGTACAGGCGTGTCGCTTACCAACAGTGCGTACTACTTGTTCGTCCCATCACTTAGTGTCTTTAACAAAAATTTTAAAAAGTTTTGCTCCGTCATAGAAAAATCAACCTATTCATATTTGGTTTATTTATATAATTCAATATAAATTATCGAAAATATGAAAAATAGCTAAGAAATGGCATGAAGCACTTTTTAATTTGACGCTAAAACCTAAAAAACACTGTTAAGAGACTATACAACCTCAAATAGCTTTGGTTAATTCTGCGTAACAGCGAAAGTATTGAATTAAGCTGTATTCAATAGGTACATTACATACACCATTTTTTTTTTCAACTGAACTAAATACAACGGGTATACGTGAGGCGCACTATAAGTTTCCGGAATAAATAAGAAAAAAATACTATAAATGGTCAGAAATGAATTTATTATCGAGTTTTTAGGT